CATCCCAGAAAACAGCGGGCAGCCATTTTTTTACCCAGTGGCCATTTTGGAACCGCCGATCAGCTGTTGGAAAATCATCGCTATGCGATAATCGGTAAGCGAAACAGCAAACCGATCATTGCAAAGCGATTTTTCCTCATAGGGAACTTCGCAATGCGATTGCAAAATCTTCGTCGCTATGCGATTTCGTCGTTAGATGGGGCGCTCGTTAAGCGAGGCACCACTGTACCGTATTTGCCGGTGTAGAAGATGACTTTTTGGGCCCAAAAAACATGCCTCCAAGTAGGGGGCGGGTGTCTTGTATGCTGGGTGCACTGAATGACGCAGTTCCTCTTCCTCCTCCTCCTCCTCCTGCCACCGCCCATTCAGCCTCTTCTGCTCTTCCTTGCCCTCTTGCTACCATGCCTGAGCCACCGCCGGGCTGCCCGCCGCGCCACTGAGCCAGCCCCGCGTGCTCTCGCCCACCACCCGCCCGTTTCCCCTCTTCCTCCTCCTGTTGGGGGGGCTCGTCTTATACGTCCGGTCGCCTTGTGCGCCTCCTCCTCCTCCTCCTGCCACCGCCCATTCAGCCTCTTCTGCTCTTCCTTGCCCTCTTGCTACCATGCCTGAGCCACCGCCGGGCTGCCCGCCGCGCCACTGAGCCAGCCCCGCGTGCTCTCGCCCACCACCCGCCCGTTTCCCCTCTTCCTCCTCCTGTTGGGGGGGCTCGTCTTATACGTCCGGTCGCCTTGTGCGCCGGCAAATATGGTACATACCTGTATGTTTACTGTTTCCCTTTGTAGAAGAGTTTGTAGAATAAAAAGGTTCAAGAGGTCAGTGTTGATGGTTTCTGCACATTATATTTTAAAATCTGTTTAAATGTGCATACATGCATTCATATGTACTCATTTCCATCAGACTCCCAAATGCTCTCTCTCTCTTTCATTTTTAAGAAAATTGTGAGGATCATTGTGTGCCATATTGTTAATTTTAATTTAAGAATAAATCAGCTTCTACACTAAGAATAAGGGATGCCATTTGCATGAAACTGATTTGTATGATAGTTTCTTAGCTATTCTTTGTCTTTGATTTAGCTGTGTGGAGTTCTGAACCAGTGCCAAGTTATATGCTAGCATCCC